AAGGTGTCAATTTTAGAATGTTCAACAGAATATTTTTTTATTTAGATTGTTTTAAGCCAATCAGGGTCAAGGTGTCAGTTTTAGAATGGTCATAAGAATTATTTTTATTTAGATTGTTTTAAGCCAATCAGAGTCAAGGTGTCAGTTTCAAAATGATGATGTCAGTTTTAGAATGTTCAACAGAATTATTTTTTTATTTAGATTTTTTTTAAGCCAATCAGATTCAAGGTGTCAGTTTCAGAATGTTGATCAAAATGATGATGTCACTTTTAGAACGTTCTACAGATTTATTTTTTATTTAGATTGTTTTAAGCCAATCAGGATCAAGGTGTCAGTTTTGGAATGTTGATCGAAATGATGATGTCACTTTTAGAACGTTCTACAGAATTATTTTTTATTTAGATTGTTTTAAGCCAATCAGGGTCAAGGTGTCAGTTTCAGAATGATGATGTCAGTTTTAGAATGTTCTACACAATTTTTTTTTTATTTAGATTGTTTTAAGCCAATCAGGGTCAAGGTGTCAATTTTAGAATGTTCAACAGAATATTTTTTTATTTAGATTGTTTTAAGCCAATCAGGGTCAAGGTGTCAGTTTTAGCATGTTCACCAGAATTATTTTTATTTAGATTGTTTTAAGCCAATCAGAGTCAAGGTGTCAGTTTTGGAATGTTGATGTCAGTTTTAGAATGGTCATAAGAATTATTTTTTATTTAGATTGTTTTAAGCCAATCAGGGTCAAGGTGTCAGTTTTAGAATGTTCACCAGAATTATTTTTTTATTTAGATTGTTTTAAGCCAATCAGGGTCAAGGTGTCAGTTTCAGAATGATGATGTCAGTTTTAGAATGTTCTACAGAATTATTTTTTATTTAGATTGTTTTAAGCCAATCAGGGTCAAGGTGTCAATTTTAGAATGTTTACCAGAATATTTTTTTATTTAGATTGTTTTAAGCCAATCAGGGTCAAGGTGTCAGTTTTAGAATGTTCACCAGAATTATTTTTATTTAGATTGTTTTAAGCCAATCAGAGCCAAGGTGTCAGTTTTGTAATGTTGATGTCAGTTTTAGAATGGTCATAAGAATTATTTTTATTTAGATTGTTTTAAGCCAATCAGAGTCAAGGTGTCAGTTTCAAAATGATGATGTCAGTTTTAGAATGTTCAACAGAATAATTTTTTTATTTAGATTTTTTTAAGCCAATCAGATTCAAGGTGTCAGTTTCAGAATGTTGATCAAAATGATGATGTCACTTTTAGAACGTTCTACAGAATTATTTTTTTTTTAGATTGTTTTAAGCCAATCAGGATCAAGGTGTCAGTTTTGGAATGTTGATCGAAATGATGATGTCACTTTTAGAACGTTCTACAGAATTATTTTTTATTTAGATTGTTTTAAGCCAATCAGGATCAAGGTGTCAGTTTTGAAATGTTGATCGAAATGATGATGTCACTTTTAGAACGTTCTACAGAATAATTTTTTATTTAGATTTTTTTACGCCAATCAGGGTCAAGGTGTCACTTTTAGAATGTTGATCAGAAATATTTTTATTAAATTTGTTTTTATCCAATCAGGATCAAGGTGTCAGTTTTAGAATGTTCACCAGAATAATTTTTTATTTAGATTGTGTTAAGCTAATCAGGGTCAAGGTGTCAGTTTCAGAATTTTTACCAGAACTATTTTTTATTTTGATTGTTTTAAGCTAAACAGGGTCAAGGTGTCAGTTTTAGAATGTTCACCAGAACTATTTTTATTTAGATTGTTTTAAGCCAATCAGGGTCCAGGTGTCAGTTTTGGAATGTTGAACGAAATGATGATGTCACTTTTAGAACGTTCTACAGAATTATTTTTTATTTAGATTGTTTTAAGCCAATCAGGGTCAAGGTGTCAGTTTCAGAATGTTGATCAGAATGATGATGTCAGTTTTAGAACGTTCACCAGAATTATTTTTTATTTAGATTGTTTTAAGCCAATCAGGGACAAGGTGTCAGTTTCAGAATGTTGATCAGAATGATGATGTCAGTTTTAGAATGTTCACCAGAATTATTTTTTATTTAGATTGTTTTAAGCCAATCACTGTCCAGGTGTCAGTTTTAGAATGTTGATCAGAATGATGTCAGTTTTAGAATGTTCACGAGAATTGTTTTTTATTTAGATTGTTTTAAGCCAATCAGGGACAAGGTGTCAGTTTTGGAATGTTGATCAGAATGATGATGTCAGTTTTAGAATGTTCTCCAGAATTGTTTTTTATTTAGATTGTATTAAACCAATCAGGGTCCAGGTGTCATTTTTAGAATGTTGATCAGAATGATGATGTCAGTTTTAGAATGTTCACGAGAATTGTTTTTTATTTAGATTGTTTTAAGCCAATCACTGTCCAGGTGTCAGTTTTAGAATGTTGTTCGAAATGATGATGTCAGTTTTAGAATTATTTTTTATTTAGATTGTTTTAAGCCAATCAGGGTCCAGGTGTCAGTTTTGGAATGTTGATCAGAATGATGATGTCATTTTTAGAATGTTCACAAGAATTGTTTTTTATTTAGATTGTTTTAAGCCAATCAGGGTCAAGGTGTCAGTTTTGGAATGTTAATCAGAATGATGATGTCAGTTTTAGAATGTTCACCAGAATTATTTTTTATTTAGATTGTTTTAAGCCAATCAGGGTCTAGGTGTCAGTTTTAGAATGTTGATCGAAATGATGTCAGTTTTAGAATGTTCACCAGAATTATTTTTAATTTAGATTGTTTTAAGCCAATCAGGGTCCAGTTGTCATTTTTAGAATGTTGATCAGAATGATGATGTCAGTTTTTGAATGTTCACGAGAATTGTTTTTTATTTAGATTGTTTTAAGCCAATCAGGGTCCAGGTGTCATTTTTAGAATGTTGTTCAGAATGATGATGTCAGTTTTTGAATGTTCACGAGAATTGTTTTTTATTTAGATTGTTTTAAGCCAATCAGGGTAGAGGTGTCAGTTTTAGAATGTTGATCAGAATGATGATGTCAGTTTTTGAATGTTCACCGGAATTGTTTTTTATTT